ATCACTACATATAACCCACCCTATCACCACATCACACCCAGATTTGTACGGGAGACCGGGGCGTCTCCACAGAACCCCCAGTGCACCATAAGGCATTACTGGCGTGTTTGCTGCAAGTTTATGAGCACTTCTCTGCACTCGCCACCAAAACGGGACAGGCCGTGGCCGCGTGTCTGTTCGATGCGCTGAGTTGTACTGCGACCAATCAGGGGCACTCGATGGACACTACGCAGGAGGGAGAAGCTGTCGATAAGACACATAAGGTAGGTAATGTACGGGTGTACATTGACGGGGTTTTGAGTATTTAGATGCATGTGGCTGTATATATGTATTTATGTATGTAGGTCGGTAGGTAGGTATAAATTAATATATGTATATGCACATTTTTATATATGTATGTCTATATATATATATATGTGTGTGTGTGTGTGTGTCTGTGTATGGCTGTGTCTCTGTCTCTGTCTGGGTGTGAATGTGAATGGGGATTGTGATTGTGATTGTGTTAATATATACTCAAAAACAGGACCTAGAAATCAAACATTTGGCTGACATTGATTGACCCGTATCCGGGGTCTGTGTGCAAGTACCCACATCAGTGTGTGTGAGTGCAGCTACTGTTGGTTGTGTGAGATATATAGTCATTGCTCATGCTGTCTCTATCTGTCAAGACAGATTGCACCCATAATCCATACGCATGCACAGACTGTATCGGCATACAGGTACATCCCATTGTTGTACATTGGTGTTAGCCCGTGGTGGTGCTGTGTCGCCAGTTCCAGAGATGGTTGTGCACGCACATCCCTGCGATAGTATACTCTTGCTGTGTTGATGGGTCGAGTGTAGGCACCCTTATTAATCCTCCTCCACACCGTCTTCCTCACACACCTATGCTACTATAACACACATATATATATATATATATATATATATGTGTATATATAATATATACATATATATAATATATATATATATTATATATATATATATATATATATATATATATTTATTATAGTACGATATCCATAACGCATACACAGACATCCACCCAAGCCTCAGAGGACTCTGCACCTGAGCGTACTCCTGTCTGCGGCGTGATTCCGGTGGTGGTGTTGTGTGGCTGGCTCAAGTGTGTAGTGCAGTGTAGTATAGTGGGTGGTAGGGGTGGTGGTAGTGTGTGGGTGCAGTCATCGCTGATGCCCTTTGTTGATCTGTTGGAGTCGCCGCAATACATTGCCGGTAGTCGGTTGCTGCGGAGCGTCGCAGGATTGCTGGTGTGTGGGTTAAGGTATGGGTTTGTGTGGTTTAATGTGTGTAATGTGTGTGTGGGTTAAAGGTGTGTGTGTGTGTATATGGCTTAAGATATGTGTGTGTGTATGGCTTAAAGTTTATGTGGGGAGGGAGTTAAGGTGTGTGTGTGTGTGGTTAAGGTATGTGTGGGGGGGGGTATAAGGTATGTGTGTGTGCGCGTCTAAGGTGTTATTAGGGGCAGATGGCGGGCGTGTGCACCCCTGAGTCTGTAGGTCTGTGTACTGTGGGGTGGGGTGGGTCATATTGGCTGGTTCAATATGTCTGTGGTTACGTATAGCTGGCCATATGTGCTCCTATGAGAGCGTTTTGTGTGTGCGTGTGCTTACGTGTGAAGTGTGTATGTGAACACATGAGTGCACTTGGTGTACATTCTATCTAGGTTTAGGGTTTAAAGGTACTAGGGTTTGAAGGTTCTAGGGTTTGAAGGTTCTAGGGTTTAGGGTTTAAAAGTTCTAGGGATTAAGGTTTGGGCGCACGTGTGTATGAATCCTGTTTCACTGGCCCAAAAAAACTCACCCCGCAACTCCGCACAACAACATCGTCACATGACATGACACCTTTGTTCACAGGGGGCACAGTACAAGCAACCCGTCACGACTGCCTCGAGCCATCATCAACCGTGTGACTGTCAACCAATCAAATACAAGCTCAGTAGGCCCCGACCAATCGAATCCAAGCCCAGCAGGTCCCGACCAATCGAATTCAAGTCCGGTTAAACCGGCCACCGACCAGGGACCGGCACGCTCCGACCCGCCACCTCCAACGGATAACACCGACGACTTGGCTCAGATGCACACACACGCAAACCCACACACAAACACATACTTTAACACACACACGCACGCACAAACACCTAAAACAGCGGATGGGGTGGGTACAGACAAAGACCCGATGTCTATAGACCCCCCCCGTACAACGTCTGGGAGTGCGTGTGGGGGGTGGGATGTGTACCTGCTTGCTGTGGAGGCAGCGCAGGAGGGGCAGTTCTCTCTGGCGCGGGAGCTGTTCAGAGGGTTGTGCAGCAAGGTGTGTGAGAAGTAGCGAACGTACAAGTGCGTATGTGTGTGATTTGTCTGGTGTGTGAGGAGATGGGCGTTAAGTGAATGTACATGTGCGTATGTGTGTGTGATATGTCTGGTATGTGAGAAGATGGGTGTTAAGTGAGCGTACATGTGCGTATGTGTGTGTGATATGTCTGGTGTGTGAGGAGATGGGTGTTAAGTAAACGTACATGTGCGTATATGTGTGTGATATGTCTGGTGTGTGAGTGAATATTTTCGTATGATAAATGCATATCAGTACTGTGTACATATTGAGAGCCATGTGTGTGTGTGTTTGTGTGTGCATATGTGTGTGTGTGTGTGTGTGTGTTATGGATGCCTGCTATAGGTGGTTTTGTCATTCTGGTAGTTGTTTTGTTGTTGTTATTGAATTTTACAGCACTCGTATTTCACACCGCCCATGTGGACAAAACGTACACCCCCACGCCACAGCGCAAGACAGACACTCAGAGCACACATAAGCGTACGCACTTCAGTCACATGCAACACCCTCGCATGCATACATCCTTTTTATACACAAGTGCATACATATATACATACATACATACTTCTTATGTACATGCATACACACATATATATATATATATACATTGTTATATTGTTATATTATTGTATTA